CTTAAGTGTATATTATATTTATTTAGCTTCTATTTTCAAAGTAAACAAGACACACACATATTGAAATTGCATTTAGTAATCTATTCATGAACAGAATTTTTGCTCAGTATTTTCTCTCAGTTACTTGATTTGAACTTGTTTATAACTTTTCATGTTCTGTTCTGTTCTATATCTCGATTGTATATGTAAAATGTCTACGTAGGTTGTTACATTGCACTTATGTAACATTTTATTTTTACATCTTCGAAAAATAATAACTTTAATGTACATGTCTATTAACTTTAACGAACACAAATTGAAAAGAAATCATAAACGCTTTTTTTTACACCGGCTCTGTAAAATCAAAGCACAGAAGGTGCTGAATTTGTTTGGGTCTCAGAATGTCAGAAAGGTGAAGGTTGTGAGATTATAAAACAATTTTTTTTTGTATAGTGCCACCTTATCTTATGTCCCAGGTGCCACCAATGCTTTCCAGCGTTTTAATTGTAGTAGATTGGCTATAAGACTAATTGCAACACTGATATTCGATCAAATTTTTTTTTTGACTTAAACAATTTGAAAAAGAAAGAGTAGCCGTAATAGGGAACGATCTGAGATAAGCATCGTATACGTCACTGATAAGAGACCTGTTCTAAAAATAGCCACATATCGATAAGTTTCGGACAAGGACACTGGTTAACCTACATGTAGATTATACAACATAATGGAACTACGAATACTTTTATTCACATTTCTCTCAATGGAAATGATGTTTCTGGAGTTAAACTTGCGTAAAGCATGATTGATATGGTTTAAAACCATCAGGAAAATAAAGATGATATGGTGATAAAAGAAATAACTTTCGGGGCAATACTTTCCCTGCATGTCAATTTGAGAAAAATGCCGGTGCTTGGCAATTTGTTTTAGTTTCACTGTTTATCAAAATTAGAAATGGTGATTTGATATGGTATGATTTTAAGAAATTGGGATCTAAAAATGAAAGAGCCAGATATACCGTACAGAATTTTGTTTCTATGTAAAATACGTAGATTGGAGATGTCATGAATATATACACCTAAGTGCTTCGAGTATTAGATTAATGATTAATATCTTAATTCTTTAATAATTTTAGAATAAGCAAAACTCTGCATTTTTCCTATTTTACTTAATAAAATATGCCGATTCTAGTATTTATTTTATCAGAAATAATGTATACGTACATGCATGCTTGCATGTATATTTTAAAAACTGAATTGACAATTGAGTTCCGTGATTTAACATACACTGTTTACTTATAGACAATAAAATACATTTGTTTTTTATTTTATGTCTCACACAAAATATTTGTTGTTAAAATCATCGGCAATTACTGGTGCATTTTTTAAACTTTGTTTTATTGACAAGGTGTTAAGATGTATATAGAGGCCAGAGCAGATTGTGACATATGTTTAAATTTAACTTTAAAAAAGTACATTGTGTAGTTGTCCCTTTTCTTTTCACACTAAATTCCATTTCCAACTTGTTTGCTTTCTACAATTGTATAAAATTTCTTAAAATATTGCATGTAAACAAAGTAAATATACGCTGATTAACATCATGTATAATGTGTACTCCCTAATCCCTTGTCCGAAAGTCAGTACAGGTGATGTAGTGGTGATTAGGTAAAATCTAGTTTTAGAACAGTGTTACCTTCAGATCGAAGGCTATTGGGATTTGAACTCCAGACCTGTCGCTTCCTAAGCGAGCGCGCAAACACCTCGGCCACGGTGAATTTATATATTAATGTCCTGAAGAAAACCATATTATTCTTTTTAGGGTTTGTAACCGCGCTAACTGTTGTTGATCTCCCCTAAATTTTTCGGCCTAAGTGTTACATATAAAGGGAAGTAACCGCTTCAAAAAGCGGACTACTTTCGGCACCTGCAATTAACAGCATTAGAGTCTGAAATATCGCTACCATTATTTGTTTGGTCTGACGACCCAAACAAATAAAAAATGTTTATCCCACTGAGGGTTTTTGACATTATAGGACTAGAATTGTATACTAACTTATGAAGGTCTTCACTAATAACTTGTGTGCACAATATTCGCTCACTCTGTTTTTACAGAATAATATTTATTTATTTTTATTGTAAAAAAATGACACAAAACTGAAAAGTGTTTTAACGCTTTTTACTCAAATCAGGCTAAGAATCACATATTTAAAACTATTACAGGTATATTCTGGGTGTATTATTTATTTTCCGTTAAAGGTGACCTTCTTGATTTATGTAAGAATTTTGAACCTCATCACAGTTCCTTTTAAGGACATTAAGGAAAATGATATCAAAGATCTACAGCGCGACAGAAGATCAACGACTTGGTAGAGGGAAGTTGTCTTGAATAAAAGTTCATTTCACATTGAATAAAAAAAACCGATTAAGTTCTAGGTAAACTTTTGTATTTGAATAATCAAATGTTCTGGAAAACAAAGAATTTCCTACAAGCAAATTAATATTCATATTAAATTTTCTTTGAAAAAAGACCTCACGGTGTTATTCTCATTGAATATATTTGCACATTGCCAGCGAGACATTTATCTACATTGCGTTTAGAATAATGTTCATCAAAACTTTTTCATGTATTTTTCTAATCAAACAAACCGCTGTGAAGAAAATATTAATTTTGAAAATAATTGCAGACGAATTATTTTGACCTGATTCCATATGCATTAATTTCATAAATCAAACAAATCAGCAATAGGGAAATCCCATGATACTGTAAATTCTGGACTACATATTCACTAGACTTCAAATGAGGAAGTAAGGTTTACGTACGAATATTATAATGTACGAGTATAATACACTTTCTATTCTTGAATAAGTATACATACATAGCAAATACCAACTCGATGTCATTGGAATTTGTTCTACAAAATATGGTGGCTGATTTGTGCCATGTCGTATTTTTGCTCCGTGGGGCGCCAGACAGAACACAAAAATGCGACAAAATGCCCTCTTTGTCGTACTTTTGCTCTGCGGGGTGCCAGAAGAAAACACGAAAATACGATAATATTTATGATACTATGATCTTTTTGTCGTATTTTTCTGTTTTCGGCTGGTGCCCCTTTGAGCGAAAATACGACATGGCACAAATCAGACACCATAACAGATCGAACAAATTATAGAACCATCCATTCCTTTTAGTACGGGAAATCTATGTAACTTGTGGTACGGTGTAGTTTTTTTCTGTCCATTTATAATATTATATTCATATCTAAATTTGAAAATTATGAAGAAAATTTAAAATGCTACGGTAGAATGGTTTTAAAGTATAATGTATATACTTAACAATACATGATGGGAATATGTGAAAATAGTAAAAAAAAAAAAAAAAGGGTAGCCCAAATGAAGTTTGGCCAGGATGTGGTTTTAAAATTGAAAAATAAACAAAAGAAACAAAATCATAACTAAATCATATAACGCCCTGATTGCTTAACAATTACAGTAAGGTATGCGACTCAAAATGTGTAAACAGTTAAAATATGCAAAAATAATTAACTCTTCGTGAACATCAATTAAAATTTAAACATTTATAAATCTGCAAATGAAACGTGTCCGTTTTAATAATTTATTACTTAATAGTTTCTAATGGTATAATTTACCAATTCTAATTGATATAAAACAATAAGGGAAAAACGTATAAAGTATTTATATTTTATCACTATATTGTTGGACCCTAGAGTGTATCGACATGAACCCGTCAGTTATGTAGTTGTTTGGAGGAAGTCTGTCAACGCTAGCGGAAACACTGATATGCCCGTACCAACATCCGGGACAGACTGTCCACATCCGGATAGGTGTCTGCCTGGGATTTTGGAACACCTATGAGATTTTTCATAATTGAGCCGTGCCATGACAAAACCAACATAATGGGTTTGCGACCAGCATGGATCCAGACCAGTCTGAGCATCCGCAGAGTCTGATCAGGATCCATGCTGTTCGCTTACCAACCCTATTACAAGTAGAGAAACTGATAGCGAACAGCATGGATCCTGATCAGACTGCGCGGATGCGCAGGCTGGTCTGGATCCATGCTGGTCGCAAACGCAATATTTTGGTTTTGTCGTGGCGCGGCTCATATCATTTTTCTCCTACATTTTTACAATACAGCCCGTTACCGCTCAATTGGCTAGTATTGTGAATCGAGCGACCCTGGTTTGATTCGGTCGGTGCAGGTTGCGATTGATCATGAAATCCTTTCTACGGTCATTCACACTGTACCTCTGCTCTGGAATGTACAAGTTACTTAATATGTATATATCTCCCTGATTTTATCTTTTCATCTTTTTAAATATTCATGTTTACAAATTCATAATATTATATGTAAATAATTCTACATACATGAATGAATAACACTTGACATACTTTTTTTGGAGAAAAAAAAAATTAAAAAAATAAAAATAAAAAAATAACTTGGGCTATATACTATTTTATTGTTGTCGTTGTTGTTGTTGTTTTGGGAATGTGCACGTCTAGCATTTACGTTTAGGTACATTGCTGTTTTTTTTATTTTACTATAATAGTTGCATTACACAAATTTATCGAATAGAAAACACTCATTTATTTACATACCACACTATATATATTTATCTTTTTTTCCGTCTAATAAATCAATATTTTTTCTCTAAATTTTCGATGTACTTTTTATTTTCAAAAGTAAATATTTACTGACATCTTTTGCTGAGAAAATACGTTAATAAATTTGTAATTGTAAAGACAATGTCCAGAACCCACCATAAAGACCTTGTATTTGACCTAACGTCTGCAGAGAAGTGCGATTTTATCTCTTTCCGTACAATATATGTCAAAGCTATCTCCTATATTGTATAGTAATTTTGTACCAGCCTCACATTAATCTATTATTGTAGCAGCGCATATCTTTTCAAGAAAGCTCCGCCCACTTCCTATTGATTCGCACGGCCTTTAATAGCTTCGCGTCCAATAGCAGCGTAATAAAGCGGTGCGATCATTTATATAGTAAACATTATCTATTAAGCTTCAGTGAGTTCATTGCAGTAGCATAAATTTTATATATATTTTGGGGTAGAATTCAAGCTCATGTCTAAAAACTCGTCATATTTCAAATAGATTTTTTTTGTGAGTGTGTAAACATGGAGTTAAATTCTAGCGGTTTGGATACACGAGTGCACCCTGGCTCGCCGGTATGTAACGGGAGCACTTTACCCCCTACAGGTGGAGATCTGGTGACTTTAGGAGCCCCGAGTGACACAATGAATGGTGATACTACAACAGGCTCAGGGGGTGACAGTAGCCACTGTTCTGACTCTTCGGCGCCGTCTCCCAACGGCTCAAACCAAGATATTCCGAATGGCAAAAATTTGACTTTTTCTCCTGAGCAGGTTGCGTGTGTATGCGAAGCTCTTCAGCAAAAAGGTGACATAGATAGACTTGCTCGTTTCCTGTGGTCTTTACCTCCGAGTGAGCTTTTACGCGGAAGTGAGGCTGTGCTTAAGGCACGAGCGACTGTTGCTTTTCATAGGGGAAGTTATCGAGAACTGTATGCGATATTAGAAAGTCACACATTCGATACATCTAATCATGCGTTTTTACAGAACTTGTGGTATAAAGCCCACTATATGGAAGCTCAGAAAATTCGCGGGCGCCCTCTGGGTGCCGTAGATAAATATAGACTCCGTAGGAAATACCCCTTGCCAAAAACAATATGGGACGGCGAAGAAACTGTGTATTGTTTTAAAGAAAAATCGCGCCAGGCTTTAAAAGACTGCTATAAAGCAAATAGGTACCCGACTCCGGACGAGAAACGGAATTTGGCTAAAAAGACAGGTCTTACACTTACCCAGGTCAGTAACTGGTTCAAAAACCGCCGCCAACGTGATAGAACCCCAACACAACAGCATGGCTTTGTTAACAGGTAATTAGGAAAAAAAGATTTTTTATTACTAGTCTATACAAAGATTTTAATTAGTTTTTTCGTTAATGCGTTTTGTATGCAGATACAATACTTATTCTTTTGTAATGATAAATGTATATTTCGGTACATACTTTATTACGTATCTCACTTGTAGTGTTATATATTTTACCAAGGTTTTCCTCAATTATCGGGACATATCGAATTATAAAACATGAAATTAACACCGATACATGTGAAATGTTATCATTTTATAGACGATTTAATTCAATATAAATGCACACATTTTCTTTTTTCATTCTAAATGTTATATTTATCTTATATAGAAAAAAAACCCATTAAAGTACAATCTGCCTTTTCCAACACATTTGATGTGTTTTAATTTTTTTGTCCGAGTTTTTAAGTGAAGTGTATGCGCTCATCACTCCCTTACTTTAATAAAGTCGAGTCTGTGTAAATAAATGTATTTTCTGAAATAATTGTTGTAAAATAGAAACAGCGACGCTCAATGACTAGTTTTAATAGTTCCTTTTATAATGAAGTATGAAAATTGAAGTGTATAACGAGTGGGCACAACGAGGAATCTTGACAATAGAATTTTTCAACAAGACATCTCAAGAGAGCGATTAAATGTTGAGATTTTAATATACAAAGAGGAAATTAGTAAAAAAAAAAAATCATCGCTTAATCAGTGAAAAAAAATATTTACATTTCTAATAACTGAATGATATAAGCGACGGTTTGTGTATAAATAATATATAAATGCAAGTGGAATGTAGAAAAATGAAAAAAAAAAAATTTATGTACATGTATCTTGCATATGTCGTATGTCTTGAGAAGGTTTTGTAAATAAATAAATAAAATAAATAAATAAATAAACAATAAACAAAAGATATCTGAGGAAAGGGGTAGTGGATGTTTGATTTGCAATACTATGGACATATGTAAAAAGAAAGCCAAAAAATATAGATGTTATGTATAAAGTAGTGGACATATGAATTTAAAGAAACGAATATATTGTGCAATATAGTTTGATTGTGGAAGAAAATAAATAAAAGAATAGCTTAATGTAATGCAGTGTTAATCTAGAAAATATGAAAAACAGAAAAAGAATATGTTCAACAATATAACAATCATTATGAAAAAAAAGCAGCAAAAAACAGAAAGACATTTATTTCAATCAAATAAGGCTTATAAGCCCATGATGACATAATAACAGCATATATACAAGACAATGAAAAAAAAATCAAATCATTGACAGTTGGTTTTAATTTGCTATTTTCTAATAAGATATACATGTCAACATAATTCATAATTATTAAAATAAGAAAAAGTAATAAGGAACTTTTCTGTTGATATTTTATTACGAGAAAATGTTTGGAAATTGTATTTTTTATTAGTTCTATGAAATATGTTCTAATTTTAACCATAAGTTTGTTTATTTATTACCTCAATTTATATGTAAAATTCTGAAAAAATATGTGTTTTTTCTGTGCATTTTAAATGATACTCTACATAGAAAAGAAATTTATCTGACAAGTTTATTCACGCAAAAATGTATTTCAATAGACATCCTAGAACGGGAAATTAATAATATGATGGAAATAGGCACAAGATATAAAATTTCATAAATCTATAGAGATGAATGGTTTTAATATATTGAATTAAAACGCAAAAAAAAACAGAAAATTTTGCATCCGTTTTAAATAATCATGGATGATACGATTACGCAATCACATTTCACCCTGTTTTCATTTTTGTCAGTTTGTTTTCGTTGCGTATGCCTTTTTACCATTTTTTAAAATCCGGATAGATTAAATATTATTATTTGTGTGATAGATCGTAAACTTTATTGTTTCAAAATTATTTTCACATTGCACAGGAGATATTATTAAACGCTGGTTTAATAGCACGGTAATTTCTTGCCAAACGTAAGATCTTATTTTCCGAAGAAAACACTCATCATTTCCTGCCCCGTCCCTCCTCGTTCGTTATATTTGGTTACAAAAAAGATACAATTAATGTCATATTCGAAAGACCACACGTTTTATAACATCCGTATCTAGAAATTATATCAACTCTGGGAGTGAATTTGTAATTATTCTAGACTAAAGATTTCTTGTCCGAAAGATAGTATAATTAGAATATCTGGTCGCATATCTTGGCCAAATAATAATTAAATTATCCGTAATAGGGTCAGCCTTTTGTTGTGGATGCGACAAGTTTTCAACTTGTTTAAGTATAGAGTATCCGTACGATTATTCAAGCGGTTTCCTCAGTCTCCCTTTAATGGTCCGTTTTATATCAAAATAGCAGTTTTTACAGCCATAAAGTATAATAATGACAATAGCGTCAGGGTATGAGAATTTTATGCGATTTTCATCAAATGTTGTAGGGTATCCGTACGATAGTTTGATAGCCCAACATGTTTTAAACGAATTTCAAATGATTTCTGAAGCAATAAAAAAGCATGAAATTGTCTTCATGTAAGTATTGATGTGTATTATTGAGACTAGAGGGGTGAGGGTAGGGAATTTTATTGCAACATTTCTAGTTATTGTAAAAGTTATAAAAAATAAATAAACGGGAATTTTATGGACAAGAAACACGCTCGTTTCTTTTATAATAAAGTGTAACCCCGACAATTTTTTATAATTCTGTTTAAGAAAGGAAATCAATCTGGGAAAAATGTAGGGGAAAATAAAACCACATTTGAACTATAGCTATGAAATAAATGTGAGCTAAGTATCATATCAGATTTTATTTTCATTTAGACGATGCGGGTAAATGTATAAATGCTTTTTGTGCTGTAGATATTTGATAAATGTTTACTTTTATGAAACTTAGTGCTGCTAGAGTCAATAAGACTAAATATCATCTTTCATAGCCCAACTAAATAAACAAGTTTAAAGAAAATCAAGTTTTATTTTCTTAAAATTTTAAATTTTGTCACGAATGTTTTCAATTTTTATCATAATTTGAGAATTCATGTATAGGCATAACTTTACTATTAGCATATCATATATATTGTATTGTATCTTCGTAGATAAATTATTTAGAACGATAAGTTAATTCTGTCACTTCCAACAATTTTACACTTTGGAGTAACTACAAATTTGATTAATGATTTAATTAATTCTTTATATGATATATAATTATAAGCAATGACTCTCATATGTCATCAGTATAGAGCCCAATCTGTCTGTACATATGAGCCGCGTCACGACAAAAACAACATAGTGGGTTTGCGACCAGCATGGATCCAGACCAGCCTGCGCATCCGCGCAGTCTGATCAGGATCCATGCTGTTCGCTTACAAACCCCATAACAAGTAGAGAAACGGATAGCGAACAGCATGGATCCTGATCAGACTGCGCGGATGCGCAGGCTGGTCTGGATCCATGCTGGTCGCAAACCCACTATGTTGGTTTTGTCGTGACGCGGCTCATATGTCCTTTATGACCATTCACTTCTGTGTCCTGCTAAATGTTAAAGGCCCATGCATACCTAGAAATGATATTATTTTTTGTTTTTGGAAACCGAAATATATTTATGAGTTCTGCCATAGTTCCCAAAAAATTCAATCTTTGGTCCTATAGCTTTACCAATTCCTTTCTTTCTTTTGTATTTTAGCATTCAGTACACTGGTAGTGATATGGCATTTTGTATGGAAGATAAAATATCGCTTTGTTTACATTTTCGTACTGATTTTTGACAATCATTGCCTTCAGTTCTACATTCTTTCTTCAGGTGATATTAAAGCATCTCACGTGTTCTATATCCATTATTAAAATAACATATAAAAGCACACGTATGCTTTTCCTAAAGAAAAATTGTTTTTATCACTGATGCTTAATATATGTTAACTAGTTTTTGCAATCCCTTCAAAGTTATAATGAACTCTTCCAAAGTCGAAGCTGGGCGAGTCCATTATACAAATGTAGCGGGACAAATGGTTGACAACAAAGTTTAATAAAATAATGAAAATATACCAATATTGAGACTATTATAAATGGTATAAGATGAAATCATAACAATATTTACAAAGCCTTAAAACCGGCCCTGGTCTGTCCAAACTTTAATTGTCTTGTCACATGTCTGTAAGTTTCGAACATGAACACAGCCGTTGCATTCGTATGAATACACCCACACACCCACGAGATGAAAGATAATGAAAGAGTGTAAATTAATGATTACCTTTCACAAAACATAGACAATAAGTATAAATAAATAGATAAACAACATTTGTTGAAATGCCAGTCTGGCGACACTTTTTTTATGGTTTATAGGTACTTTTCAGTTATCCGAGTTATTTGTAAAGCAAGACAAAGATGTGAAACTATGCAATGTTTTCATGCCATGATTTCTTTTATATTGTTCTACATTTATTTGTGTGCACCAAATATCTTTGAATGAAGGAAAAAAGTGTGTGTGAACTTGTATAAATGATACAAACTATGTTCAATGTATCGGTTCAAACATTATTCACTTTCACACTTATTTTATATGTATGTTAACAAAACATACAATTCATCTTAAACCTTCTACCATGTAAAGAACATGTCCTGCTTTGTTGCTATACAGTTATGAATAAGTTAGATTTAGAGTTATTTTTTATTTAGGTTATTTAAACGAACGAATGAACTGAAAGGTTATGTAGAATCTTTTTTCTTTATTTTATTTTCAATAAACTTTAGTATAACAAGTACAACTTAAAATATGTTAAGCACAGGTTATTGTTAAGCCAGGAATAATCATCTGGCAAATCTTATATTAAAAGCTAAACACCAGAACACAAGACTCCTCTTGTTGACATTTTAATAAACGTACCTGTATTGCATATTTTTGTAGACTGTCTCAAAACTAATATCGAAAGTACTGCGCAATAAACGGCAATCTCCCGGCGAAAAAAACCGCATTGTCGTCTGCTCAGGTTCTTTCCCAGAATGACAAATAATGAAAGTTTTCTGATTGCAAACCGCAAAGGTGAACAAATTACGTTT